ACCCCAGGACCCTGGGATCATGACCTGAGCCGAAGGCAGATGCTTCACCAACAGAGCCATGTAGGTGCCCCCTCCATTGTGTTCCCTGAACACACCCATTCCTACCGCAGGGCCTTTGCACTTGCAGTGGCATCTGCCTTGAACGCCCCACCCTGCCTCACCCACACTTGATTCAGATCTCAGCTCAGATGTCACCTCCTCTGGGAAGCCTTCCTGACTGCTCCATCTATTAGACCCCCATCCTGGCCAGTCTCTTTCATATCACCCTGTTTTATTTTCTTCATGTCACTTATCATAAGCTGAAAATTTAAAAACTTTGAAAAAATATCTCCTCACACTAGAATTGCACCATCTGACAGAGTAGCCACAAGCCACATGTGGCTGCTGAGCACTTGAAATGTGGCTGGACCGAACTGGCACGTGCAATAAGGGTTAAATATGCACCAGATTTCAAAGACATAGTGAAAAAAATGCAAAATATTTCTTTAAAAATTTTGAGGGTAACTCTGTGAGGTGATGGATGGTAACTAAATTTACTGTGGTGGTCACTTCGCAATATACACAAATATCAAATCATGATGCTAAAACTAATACAGTGTCACATATCAATCAGATCTCAACAAAAAATAATTTCTTTATGTTGATTACATATAGAAATAGTATTTTACATAGGTGGGCTTTGATATGATATTAAAATTAACCTCATCTGTGTCTTTTTATTACTTTTTATTACAAGCCACATAATTTTTCTATGGGACAGCTCTGCACTAGAAAGTCAGGCCCATGAGGGCAAAAACCTCAAGTGTTGTGGTCACCGCTGTCTCCCCAGTGCCCAGAACAGTAGGTGCTCAATAAACACATGGGTTGAATGAGTAAATGAACAACATACACTGTTACCATTATAGACAACTGTATCTGCCATCACTTTCTAAGCCTATTTGTATTTTTCCTGTCTTCCCAGTTACCCACCCACTGCCTGAGGTGAGGATGCAGCTTCCTCTGTCTCTGCACTGCCCACGTCACGCAGGAGGGCACCTTGCACGCCGTGGCCCATCCACAGGGTTGCAGACTGAGTAAGCAGATCGAACGTGTTAAGACGGTGGCCTGAGTCTGTGTGATGAGCAGAACTGACTGAGTTTGGGGGTGTGCTTGGGGGAAGGGTTGGTGGAAGACCGGGTGCATGCTTTACTGGAGCCACGTATGCTGAGAGAGAAAGAGTGTGGGGGGCGAGGCAAAGGAAGGAAGGAGGAATGAACAAACTGATAAGACCAAGGACACGCTCACAAGATTTTTGTGGAAATAACACCGTGAAGAGCCTTTGAGACTACAAGAAAAAAAAAATCAGATGAGTCTCTATTGATCCTAAGAATACAGAGAAAAGGGGACCCGGGCTGGGATGGGAAAAGGGTTTTGTCCTCTGATTTATGAGAGACCATCCTCAGTGTTTACAACAAAAGCCCCAGCTCTGAACATGCTGGGGTTTACTTCCTGGCTGATAGCGTTTTCCAGAAATGACAAGTGCAGCTGGTTGGGAATTCCATCTGACTCCAGGCCTAGCGGCCTCCGATGGCTCCCAACGGTGTCTCCAAGCCCAGTTGCTGCAGAACTCAAACGCCAAGGGTGGGGACACAGGTGCCAGGACTTCTGAGTGACCTGGGCTAAGCTCCTAGGCCCCAGTTAATAAGAGGCAGCCACATGATAGGATTTCAAAGATCCCTTCCCTCAACTCTCTAAGAGATGGGGCGGTGAGGGTCTGGGGTAGGAGGAGGGGTGCCGGAGATGGGGGTAGGGTCTCTATGAACACCTCACTGAAAGCCTCTCCAGGCCTAAGGACAACAGTTAACACTTTTAAGGCCCTCACAATGGGCCAGGCTCTGTCCCAAACACTTTATATAAGTTAACCAACCCTTTCCACCACAACCCCATGAGATGTGTGCTATTATCATCCCCATTTTACAGTTGAGGAAACAGGCACAGAGAAGCGAGGTGACTTGCCTAAGATCACACCATGGCAGGGTTTGAAACCAGGCCGTCTAGCTCCAAAGTCCCTGCTCTGGGGAACTTGACGTTAATTACAGGGCCGGGGCATTAAAGCTCTCAGTGTGATCTTGGAAATGTTGCCTAACACTTGGGAGCTTGAGTTTCCTTCCTGACCTCAGGGCATAGGGACCTGTGAGGACAAACACCTTTTAACCTCGCAAACACTAGTGCTCTTAACCACTCACAATTCTGCCCCCAGATTAAGACACAGCCACCGATGGCGCTATTCTCCTTGAAACACAATAGGTTATGGCTTGCCAGGGAGGTTCAGAGAGGCCAAGTGTATTTCCTGAGGCCACACAGCAAGCCAGAGCCCACTCAGGCACCCTGATTCCTCCAAGGAAAGGCGTTTCCTCCTATTCTCTGTCCAAAGGGTCTGACAGAATCTTCCTTGGGCTGAGGTTGGGGCAGGAAACCACACATCTCCCACTTCCTTTTCCCCAGGCACCTTGTCTAGACTCCCAGCCCAGTAGGGAGGCCCTGATTCATGTTCTTGGAGGGATTCTTGTTCATAGAGCAGAGGCTTAGCTTTAAAGCTGCCCCAAACCATGTCCATCCCCCAAATCAGGGAAGAAGCACTAGAGTTACCTCCACTGGGGCTGGGATTCTCTCAGCACTAACGTGGGACAAATCCCCCCCCCCCAATTTTCTTCATCTGTAAAATGAAGATAGTTCCTGCCTCACAGAGTTCTGTGAAGATTAAAGATAAAACCAAGGAGGGGAAAGCACTTCAGGTTAATAAACTAGAAGAAACCCTGGGAAACAATTTGCAAATAGAATCCCAGAGATTGGGGGGTCAATGAGCTCCCTGGCTGGAGGTCATATCCCCTTTGCTCTGGGGGGTTTTGGGGTGAGAAGGAGAGGGGCTTGATGTCAGATCTTCTTGGGTAACACTGAAGGGCAGAGGACTTATTTCATTTCTGGAAAATAATATTATCTAAGCACTTTAGATATATCCCACTTAATTCTTATAAGGTGGGTCTTACTACTATCACTATTTGACATGCGAGGAAATAAAGCACAGAGAGGTTGAGTAACTTAACCAAGGTCACACCGCTATTACATGGTAAAAGTGGGACTGGAACTCAGGTCTGACTCCAAAGAACTGCCCTTAATCTCTGAAGCGGTATATGCCAGGTGGTGCTGGTTGGACAAAAGAGGGCCAGGGGCCTCCCTCCCTTCGTCTTTCAGCCAGTCGGGTCCCTTCTCATCTAGTCCCTGCATACACACAGCGTGCACCTAAGCTGCCCGACGCTGAAGGGCCCTTTGGTCCCAGCGGCCCCATTCCCCGGATGGGCATACTGAGGCCGCTCGCTGCCCACCTTCTGGTGCTTGCGCTCCTTCTCGATGCGGTCCATCCTCTCCAGACGCAGGCGGTCCAGCTCCAGGCGCAGCTCGTCCAGCTCAGGCGCGACGTGGTGGCGGCTGACCAGCACCTCCAGGATCTCCAGGACACGCACGACCTTGGGCATGAGGCGCGCGATGGCCTCGCAGCCGTGCTGGTCGATGACCCGCTCGAACTCGTGGCCCACGAGCGACGCGATGTCGTACACGTCCATGACGGTCAGCTCCGCCACGTTCTTCTCCAGCGCCGACTCGGCCGCCAGCGACGACCCCCGGTCCTCCTCCATGGCGCCCCGCCCGGCCTCTCCCCCACCCCGCAAACTAGTGCAACTCCCAAACTTGCCGCTGTCGAGGGCAGCGCCGGGCCGGGCCCACCTCCCGCCGCCGCCGGCGGTCCGCGCTCAGCTGGTCCTCTGGCGAGGGCGCACCGGGCGGCCGGCCCGCGTCCGCATGGGCGGGGGCGGCGGACCGCGAGCCGGAGGGCTGCGCGCGGGGGGCGAGTCTCGGCGCGCGGCTCGGCCCGGAGCCTGCTCCCCGGCGGGAGGAGGAGGAGGAGGAGGGCGACGACGAGGAGGAGGAGGAGGAGGAGGAGAAGGAGGCGGCGGCGGCCGCGGCGAGGAAGGCGCGCGTGCGCAGGCCCGCGGCGCCTCCCAAGTTGGGAATCCGAGTTGGGCGCAATGGAGGCGCGGGGTCTAGCTGGAGAGGGGGCCCCGTCGCCCTCGGAAACAGTTCTCGCCCGAGGGTCGCCCCTGCGCCCGGGGCCGGAGAAGGAAGGGTGGCCGCGGCTCCTCCAGGAAACTTTGGTGGCGGCGGCGAGACCGGCTGACCGGCTCCCCCCGCGTGGCTGCCGCGCGCCCCGCCCCGATCCCGGCCTGGCGAGGGGCGCGCCCGGCTCCCGCCGCCCGAGGGCGCCCGGGTCCCCGCGGGCCCCGCACCGTGACCCGCAGACTAGGCGGCACCCCCCACCCCCGCCGGACCTTCCTCCTCGCCGCCCCCCCGGTGCGTCCGGTCGCGCCGCCCCCTCCTCCGGCCCGGTCCTGGCTCCTCCTCTCCCACTCCCGCGGGGGAGGGGTCGAGGCTAGCCCGGAGGAGAGGGGGCGGAGGCGGTGGGTGGTGGGGGGCACGCTGGTCTCTGGACGCTTCGCCGAGCGGAGGGGCAGCCTCTGCGTTGGAGAGGAATGGAGGGGTCGCGAGGTGGACTCGGGGATGGGGCCCATGCTGGGGAGAGAGCGAGGACCACCCCCCCCGCACCCCCACCCCACCACCCCCCAGCCCGCAGACCCAGTCACAGGCGGACCTGGTGGCGCCGGGCCCTGCGCTCCAGTACAGGCGCCCGAGAGGGGCACAAGGAAGGGTGGAGGGGTCCCCTGCCCCCGAAGCCGGGCTGCCCCGCCCGCAGAGCCACGTCCTTTAGCAGTTCCTTGTGACATAAACACCGCTTCACAGAGGAGGTGAGGCCGGGGTTTGGATCTCGGCACCGCGAGTTTTCTTGTCCAAGCCCCCTGTCCTTTTGACCTGGCTAAATGCCCTAGTCCATCCGACACCCCGCCCCCAGCAGAGTCTTTCCAGAACCCACTAAGTCCTCCCACCCTTCCCATACGCCACGCAGGGCTTAGGGATCCTCCTCTGCATTCCCACAGCCCACTGCCTTCTCCCACGGAACTGCCCCTCGCACGCTGAGTTTTAACCGTGTGGTTACACAGACGCCTCCCCCATGAGACTGGGAGCTCCTTGAAAGCATTAAAAAAATACTAGAACGCCCTTATAGCCCTAAAACCCCCACCAACCTGGCACATACTGATTAAAAAAAAATGAAATTGAAAATGTATTGGACATCTATTTCGTATTTAATTCTAAGTGCTTTACAAATAAATATTGCCTCATTTAATCTGTACTCTATTGGTTCTCAGAGCGTGGCCTAATGACCACTGGGGGTCTCCAATACCCAGAGGGTCTCGGTGAGGTGGTCCCTTTTGCCAGCTTTATATCAATATGAGGCAAGATGTTCTTGGCATATTTAACGCAGAACAGCATCTCACAGTAAGATTGAACCGTGCAGAAGCAGATGTGAGGATCCTGCCCTCTTCCAATGAGCTAGACATTAAGGAGATTTGCAAAAATGCAAAACAACGCCACTGTTTTCAGTGTTTTGTTTGGGAGCATAGTTACTTGTATTAAAAATATGCATGTTAAAATGTCATGTATCTGCTTTTGAATTAATCAATATTTTGAAAAAATCAGTTTAAATTTCTAGTTACAGTAGATATCCATAGATAGAACACACTTAACGAAATCTCTTTAGAGTCTTCAGTAGTTTTTGAGAGTGCCCTTGGAGAAGGCTCTCTGAGACCGGAAGGTTTGAGAACAGCTGCGTCACCACATCCTAAAAAAGTATTATTATCCCACTTTTACAAATGAGGAAACTGAGTCATGGAGTGCTCAAATAGCTTGCCCAAGGCCGAGCAGCTGGTAAGTGCTAAAGCCAGAGGTCAGATCTGTGCACAGCAACCTAATGAGGTGGACATGTGATTATCCCCATCCTAACTCAAGGCCAGTGAGAAATAGGGGCATTCGCTTCCTGTAGCTAATATACCAAGTTGCCACAAACTTGGTGACTTAAAACTATAGAAACGTATTCTCTGACAGTTCAGGAGGCCAGAAGTCTGGAATCAAGGTGTTGGCAGGACTGGGCTCGCTCTGAAAACTCTTGGGAGTATCCTGCCTTGTCTCTTCCAGACTCGGGGATCCTTAGTTTGTGGCCACATCACTCCAGGCTCTGCCTCTGTCTTCAGGTGGCCTTCTCCATGTGTGTCTTCTCTTTTGTGTCTCTTATAAGAACCCCTGTCATTGGGGGGCGCCTGGGTGGCTCAGTTGGTTAAGCGACTGCCTTCGGCTCAGGTCATGATCC